TTTCTGTGAAGTGATTTTCAAGCATGTAGCTCCTAAGACTCTCCTGGGGTGCTTGTTGAAAGATCAATTCCTGGACCCCCAACCTACACACCTGTGCATATTGAACCACGATTTCTGAGATTTGGGCCTGAGAATGGGTAATGTTTCTCAATTATATTGTAACTGGGATAGCACTGGTCTATGGATTGCATTTTTCTAATGACTCGGACTTAAAAAAAAAAAAAACAAAACAATAGGCCATTTAAGATACATATCAAAATATAATTTTACAATTCAGATGAACACTAACTTTACTCATTAGTTTTTAAACTTTAGAGTTCAGAGTGACATTAATTTTAACATAATCTAACAAAGAACTTTTCTGTCACTTTCTGTGCTAATTAGTATAGTTCAAAATAAGCTATTGGTAAACTATAGATATTTAATGTGTGAGCCAATGCTTTATATCTTTTACATATTTTACTGTGAACTGACATTTATATAGTAAGACATAGTGGAAAAACAGAAGCAGTAGACAAACCATCCTTTATTTTAGGTTGAACTCCCACCACCTGATCTTGGACCAAGTTCTGCACTAAATCAGACGCTCACGCTGCTGCGTGAGGTTTTGGCATCTCATGATTCCTCAGTTGTGCCATTAGATGCTCGTCAAGCAGATTTTGTGCAGGTACGTTGTCAGCCCATTTTTAGTGACTGCTTATTGCCCTTCTATTGTACATTCTCTTCACATTCTGGCATTTTTTTTAACCCATGTATTTTGGCAGTACCTTTCTTACTGATTTTCCTTCAAATATTAAATCTTTTCTCTTAATTTCAAAAGTATTGATTTAATGATGCCCACTTCTTAAGGTACATTATTATTATATCATTTCATCTTTTTCTCATGTGCTTCTGTAAGTTGGCTCCCTTTGATAGTTTGGCATTAATTTTGAAGTGTCATTAACCCAGGACCAGCGATTGGGAAATAAATAATTTTGTTTTTCATTTATAGGTTTTATCGTGTGTCTTAGATCCTCTTCTCCAGATGTGTACTGTATCAGCCAGCAATTTAGGCACAGCCGACATGGCCACATTCATGGTCAATTCACTGTATATGATGAAGACGACGCTAGCTCTATTTGAATTCACCGACAGACGTCTGGAAATGCTACAATTTCAGGTAAATTTTCTTATAAAATGATTATTCACATTTTTTAGGAGAAAGATGGAATCCTTTTTCTCTATACGATAGCTTTAAGTTACTGACTTGATTAATTTTAATGACCTAATTCCTATAAATCCTTTGATACAGTCTGATGGAAGGATACATACACGTGCATGCGCACATGGGCACACACATTCACTATTTTAGTTTCAACTTTGGAGAAGCCAGAATGTGTAATGGTTAAGATACTTGATTCAGACCATAGTATGTGATGGTAGAATGAAGCTTTTCTGATTAATTTGAACAGTTATTCTGTGTGCAGATTTCAGTTTCTGAACTGTGAGTAATATGCCGTATCTTTCAAGCTGTGTAGCTAGCGCCGAATGTGTTACAGAGGATATATTTTTATCTGTGTAAACCAGTGTTAGGCAAAACATTACCATTTGTTATACCAATCCCTCTAGTCCTATAAACCAAATGGTATCTGGTATCACTTCAGAGTGTATGTAATGACTAAAACAAAGCCATTTGTAAAATTTACCAGATACTTGGGTTCCAGTTTTAAATACTGACTATCGGTAGATGTAGTGTTTTTTAAAAAAACACCTCTGAATGTTCTGTGCTATCACAAGTATATAAACAATTTGACAGTGGGTATCATAAAACTTCATTTATTAAGTTGTGAGTTTTTCCAAGGAATACATTTTAATATATCAAAATTTATGATATTTTATAATTTCTAATTCCTTTTAGAAATATATCAGAATTATCCATATTCATGGTTTAAAGTCAAATAGTTCTGTAGAGTTTGTAATGAAAAGCCACAATATACCATCCTCTCCACCGCAGCATTTCTCTCTTATTTCTCCCTCTTAAAGATAATCTTTCAATTCTTATAGTTGTTTCTTTTGGTATTTATATTTGTAACTCTAAATGCTTGTGTGTGTATTTCTACTTAGAGATTTTTTTTATTCTTAGATCTAATGTATTGAATTTGCACTCTGGATGATCAAAATTTATTTCTCTACACCTACACACACACACACACACACACACACACAGGAATACGGCCATACTTAGAGCTTTCCAACCTCCCAATGCAGTTTGATTATAATTTTTGGTTAGACCAATATTGTGCTAACACCATTGAGCCATGTAATGAAAATGATTAATTTTCCTTTCCTGGATAATTTTTGTTTTCTGTGGAATTAATAACATTTTTCTTAAAAAGTCTTATTTTTTCCCTGTATTTGTCACTAATTCAAGCCCAAATCTTAGCCATTTTCTTAAGATTTTCAGGTATATCAGTTCATTAATTTGCATTATCACCAATTATCTGCTTTTCTTAAATGTTTCTTAGTTATTTTCTGCATGATATAAATTTCTTTGTGTGTTAAATTGAGTTTATTAATTTATTCAAGTTCTCTATATATCCTTGCTTATTTTTTACCCCCATTGGATGTGGGGTAAAAGCTGAACTTGTCACATGGTTTTCAGCATTTTTTCTCCAGAAATCTCCTCAGCCAGATCTTTAGTACTCTGGGTGGCATTTTCAATAATTGTTCTATCAGCAGATAATTCAGGTTCCCCTTTCTCCAGCCTCCACTAGCAATTTTCTTACTGCCCTTCCAGACCCCACTGGCAGTCTGTGGGCCTTCCAAGAGGACAAGCCCCAGTGTGGAAGGGCTTATTAACCCTGTACTAGCATCGTGTTTGTTAATGTGCCGATGGCCAAGGCTGGTCGTGTGGAGCATCCCAGGTTCAGTGTCAGGACGATACAAGGGCATGGATGCTGGAACGCATGGCTTGCTGGGGTCCTCCAAAGTAACAGTTTACCTTGTTGGGTAAAGGATTCTTGATTTTCAGACCTTTTCTATCAATTGTCTGTTAGTTCTCTTCCACTCTTATTTAGCTTCTTCTAGTGTTTAAAAAAGTCCAGGCTAGTCTGATGTTCTCTCTCTCTCTCTCTCTCTCTTTTCATGGTAACTTAGTCTACCCATCTGAAAACTTAAAAGGATTTTCTTGAGTTCAGGTATTTCCCCAGGATGTTTTTAGGTATGTCTCTATTTCCATTATTTCCATCTTAGACTGTGGAGAGCCATTTCAGTTTAAAGATTGAAACTTTTTTTTTGCTCAGTAAAGTTTTCTATTATTTCTTTAATCATTGCTTCTCCATGTATCACTTTTTATAATATATTTTGAGGCCCCTGTCCTTGGTTGGGTTTATCTCATGAATCTGTCCTCTAATTTCTTTTTAAATCTCTTTAATCTATTTCTTTGATATTTGTTCTATATTACTTTTCTTCCAGACCACTAGTTTGGTTTTTAGCAGTAACTCTTCTATTTTTCACTTTCATTAAGTGTTTACATATGTTTTTCTTTGCTTTCCAGTAAGACCTATAAGTAAGGGCTTTAATTGTACTTCCTTGGGCATTTACTTTAAATAAAATAAAAGTAGTTTGTATCTTTGAATAGTGTTGCGTTAGGAAAAGATACTTATTCTGATTATTCAGATGGGCTTCCTTTTAGCTTACCTCCTAAATCAGTTGTAAGTTTTTTAGGGGGAGGAGTTATTGGAGTTGCTTGGACAATGGCATACATTCAGATGGTAACACATACTACAGTTGGCAGTGTACTATACTATTGGCAAACAAACTGGTAAAACTGGGGGAACTTCCTGATGAGGAATAGAAGGAAGACCTCCAGACTATCAGGATTATACTGGCAAAAACAAGGAAGGAGCAGGCTTTTTCCCATGAGGGAATGCTCTAACCCATCAGGCTAATCCCTTTCTGTGGCTTTTGCCTCCATTAGCATTCAGTGGCTTCATCCAAAATAGCACGAAGCTGGGGAGCATGTACCATTCACATCTGCTAGCCAGATCTTCCGAGGAAGTTCCTGAACCTGAAATCTTTGACCAAAGTTCCACTGGGCCCTCGACTCTCCCCTGCTTGTCACAGACCTGCTTTATGCGCAGTGGGAGAATTTACTGCCTTAGCTGCCATGGCGTTTCCTCCAGGCTTCTCCAGATGACATATTTGATTTGTTAACTCAGTCCAGCAAGTTGGGAGGGTGAGGAGGTCAGGAGGTTAGGAACATCAGGCCCTCATCTTCCCAGAATTCTTCCTAAGTATTTTATTTTATACTATTTTTGTTTATTAGTGTTTTTTGTTTGTGTTTTGCTTATTACTAGCTTTTAAGAGAGCCGAGAAGCAACCCACATTTTGTGGTTGGTGGCTAGTCCTGGCATCCCTTTCGGTTATCATTTTAAGTAAGACTTTCTCTCCCTTTTGGAGGAGGACTTCCTCTTGGGGGAAGAAAAAGCCTTTGCTATAGAAGCCATCCCTGTGCCTCATTATCTGTGCCACTCCAAGGAACAAAGCCACGATGAAGAACTAAGCAGGATGGTCTACATCTACCCTCATCAGTGTTAGTCCTCTTTTAAAATGTTTTCTGTTGTGTTTTATTTTAGATTGAAGCACATTTGGACACGCTTATAAATGAGCAAGCGTCTTATGTTTTAACTAGGGTAGGCTTGAGTTATATCTATAACACTGTACAGCAACATAAACCCGAACAGGTAAGCACGTAGATGTTCCTAATTCTAAAAATAAGCCAGTTTAGAGTTTGGCTTCTAGAGCTGGACTCTGGATTTGAATCTTGGCTGTACCACTTATTAGCTTTGTTTTCCTGAGAAAATGACTTATTTCTCTGTGTCTCTTTCCTCATCTGTAGATTGGGGGTAATAATAGTATCTGTGTCACAGGGTTGTTCTGAAGATTAAGTGAGATGTGCAATTCTTAGATGATTGCCTTGTAAAAGTAATGAAAATATACAAAAATACTAGAAAATGTATAAAGGATATTCATACTGGTAAATTTTTCAGAGTTCTGTATCACTATTTGTTGAATGCATAGATTACTATATGAATAGCAATCATCCTTTTTTAATTTAGCAAATCATGGAAAGGTAATTACTTCTGGGGCCAGCCTATGATCTTGTTAAATTATAGAACCCTAGTAGAAATAGATAAAAGAGTGGTGGAAACCCTAGAAAACCATGTAAGCCATCTTTCATTAAGAATCAAAGAACTCTTTCAGATGACATTGACAGGAAGAATATATTAAAGCCCCAGGCTTTCACAAATCACAACTTCTCAATTTTTGCTTTGCTAAAGTAGTAAGCAAATTTCTACCAGTAGGAACCAATTGTGCTGCCTTTCTGTACTTCCTAAAATAATCAAAGTGAAACCCTTTAAGCCTCCATGTCTGGCATCTTCTGAGTGCTTCGTTGACTCCTGTTTCTTTGATATGAATAAATCTGAAGTATCCTGATATTTCCATGGTTAATAAACTTATGTGCTTTTTAATCCTTCCAACATATCACAGTCCCTAATTTACTGAAGTTGAAGAGATGACACTTGAGTTCTTTGGAAATAAGCTAAAAGATTTTCCGAATTTGGGCAGTCCACTAGTGGACTGTATGAAATGAAATGTCTGTCTCCTTTTTTACATCTTGTTTTTGCTTTTTGCTTTTTTTTAAATAGGGTGCTTTAGCTAATATGCCCAACCTAGATTCCGTGGCACTGAAGGCTGCAATGGTAAGTGCATGATAAAGTGATAATTTTGTCCTGTATGATAATTTTTATCTCTTGGTAAGCAGTAATCACATTGGGTCCAGTAATGACTGAGCATGTATTCCTTTAACTGAGCAAGTCTGACCAGGACTTATATTTACAGTAGTATTCTACCATACCCTGATGGTCTTTTCGTTATTGTTTAGGATTTCTTCATTTTCAGGGTTTTATTTCTGATTTCACGGAGAAACAGGAATGACAGACATGAAGAAATTAGGCAATGTGTATGTTATAGACTTGCTACTACCATGATCCTTGGTTCACGTATCTCAGTACTTCTTTCTGAGAGGATAACCGAAATTGTATTCCAGTCTTACAACAGTACATTGCTCCCTGAAACTCCACTTTATTACCCTCTTTTCAAGCAAAGAGCTTGTGCCTTCCTTTCTGCATGAGCACCACTCTTGGAGCATGTTTTTGTGTTTTAAGTATATACTTTGCATGTATGTT